AAAAAAAAAAAAAAAAAAAAATATATATATATATATATAAAAATACAGATATATAGCACATCATTGTGGACAGTCAATTTTGTGAGTTTAGATAAACTGTGTGGTAAATAATTTGAAACTCAGGATACATCACGCAATGAAACACATTACTATTTCATTTGATCCTCAGGGACAACTCTTGGAAGTATTGTTGCCAACTCTTAAGTTCAGAAAACTGAAGGTCTAGCCCAAAAATCACAACACTAAGTGAAATAAGAAACTAAGTGTTTATTTTGACACTGAGCAACCTGGTATTATCTAACTAACTACTCTGCCACCCTAAAGAGAAGGAAAATATGGAGTAATGCTCTAATTTTCCCAGTAACTATAATAAAAACTCTTCACTCTGGAACTTGTTAATTCTCACAGAATCAAGATTTTGTCCAAACTATGGGAATTCTGCAAGTATTCAAATCTATTTGTACTACATAAATATGACACAATCCACTTTCATATTAGAAAGATGAAGCCTGAAACCAGGTCTGCTATTAAGAGCTATTTTCCATGGAGCAGAATAATGAGGCTGGATACAGCTTGTCCCTGCTACCACCAGAACCAAAGTTTTCACTCATCCTGTTTTAGGAGAAGAGTGGGTAAGCAACTGTGCTCCTAGAAATGCAGGACTGCATACTAACAAAATGTGCATGTGTCAACTAATGGGAACAAGATAATCAAAACAGATTATACAGCCCAATTAACTTCTTAAATAGCAGTAACACACAGTCTGAAAGGTCCTAGATAATAATTTGAACAAAAGAATAAGACAAGATATTTCATGGTTAAGGTCAGGTAATTATATAAATACAGGTACATAATATACTATGAAAATAAGTAAAGAGAACCTAATTAGAACCTTTTTTTTAGATTATTATGCTGAGATAATAAACTGAAAAAAATCTCCTATATCCTCTGTATAATCTACAAAATAAAAAGTTACCTGGGCAGCGCCCATAGCTAAGTGGGTATAGCACCAGTCACATACATTGAGGCCAGCGCGTTTGAATCCACCCCAGGCCAGCTAAAACAACACTGACATCTGCAACAACAAAAAAAATAAGATAAAATAAAATAAAAAAAAATAAAAATAGCCGAGTGTTGTGGCAGGCGCCTGTAGTCCCAGGTACTTGGGAGGCTGAGGCAAGAGAATTGCTTAAGCCCAGAAGTTTGAGGTTGCTGTGAGCTGTGATGCCACGACACTCTACTTACCAAAAGCAATACAGTGAATTCTGTCTCAAAAAAAAAAAAAAAAGTTATCTGCATCAATTATTTCCACTAGGGTATTCCACAGTTTGAAAAGCTTCTGCAGCTGGCCCTGCAGAGGCTGCCACTAGGGCTTGCACCCTCCTTTAAACCTCTTACCACTTTCTTAATGGCATTTGAGTATTTCTCTTGTCTCAATTATACTACTGGACTGCAAGCTTCTCAAAAGCAGCAACACTATTTTATTTATCTTTATATCCTCACTATACACATAGTGCCCTCTGTCTAGGTGGCTTTATGAAGTTTCAAATAAATAGAATGTATATGCGATTCTAATTTTAAGGAAATAGAAACATGAAGCTAGAGAAGGAAACAAGAATTTCAAATCCAGTTATAATCTATTCATGTCGAACTAGCATTTGACAGAAGTGTGAAGTAGTACAGGTTCTGGAAAAGATAACAGCCAGGATAACAGTCTGGAAAAGATAACAGCCTGTGGTTCCAGCTATATCTTTTCCAGTAATACAGGTTCTGGAAAAGATAACAGCCTGTGGTGCCAGCTACCTGGGAAGCAAAGGCAGGAAGATCACTTAAGTTCAGGAGATCAAGGCTACATTGAGCTAGGATTGCACCACTGCACCCCAGGCTGGGCAACAGAGAAAGACTGTAGCTTTAAAAAAAAAAGCACTGCTTCTTGCCACCTAAAAAAATAAGCGAATGCCTTAAAAAATTAAGAAGATGAACATTGCCTTAGAATCAAATAGTCCAGGTTAATGTTTTGTTATAAATGTTTTGTTCAACTCTTACTTGAAGATGTAAGAGCTACAAAGCTTTCAAAGCTACTCTAGTGAAAAAGCTGCTAAATTACTTGAACACAAGTATGGACAGAAACCTCAGATATACAACTTACTTGAAATCAAAATTTCAAAACAAGTAAAAATACCGTGTATCTTTCAAAAAGTATTTATTGAGTGCTTGTGAAAAATTCTCTGCTAAAGGCTGGAGATTTAACAAGACAAAAGTTGTCCTACCAAGAAACTTAACCAATAATGAAGTAATCACTTAACACAAGCCAACAAAAACTTATTTAATGCACCTGTTATCAGCCACTTGCAGGAGATCTGCAATGTAAGGGTCTTCTGGCTGGGGAACTGGATAGGAACTGACTTCAGAGGGAGGAACTGGTTCATCAATTTGCATACGCTGCCGCCTAAAAGCAATGCTTCTTTTCTTGCCACCTAAAAAAATGAGTGAATGTCTTAAAAATTAAGAAGATGAACATTGCCTTAGAGTCAAATAGTCCAGGTTAATGTTTTGTTATAAAGTATGTCTCTAGTTCATATTACATAGTGATAAAATATTTTCTCCCTTATATGTAAATACCCACCCGTGTCTTTAATCAAACAAAGCATTCTTGACAACCTCAACAAGACATGGTTCTAAAACAACTTTTATATGTCTGCATACTTGGCACATACAGCCATACCGCATTTTACTGTGCTACACATTGTTGCACTTCACAGATGCTGCATTTTTTTTTTTTTTTTTTACAAACTGAAGGCGTCTGGCATCTGCAGGAAGCAAGTCTATCCATGCCATTTCCCAAAAGCATGTGCTCATGTTTCAGTGTCGTATTTTGGTAATTCTCACGATTGTTCCGAATTTTTAATTATTATAATTTCTGTAATGGTGGTCTTTGATGCTATTATTGTAAATGTTTTGGAGAGCTATGAACCAGACCCGTATAAGACACTGAACTTAATCAAGACATGCTGTGCACATCCTGACTTCTCCACCGGCCGTTCCCCCGCCTCTTTCCCTTTCCTTCGGCCTCCCTATTCCCTGAAACACAACAATACTGAAATTAGGCCAATCACAACCCTAGAATGGCCTCTAAAGTGTCCAAGTGAAAAGAAGTTACACATCTCTCACTTTAAATCAAAAGCTAGAAATGATTAAGTTTAGTGAGAAAGGCGTGTCAAAAGGCAACACAGGCCAAAAGCCATGCCCTTCCCACAGAACAGTTAGCCAAGATGTGAATGCAAAGGAAAAGCTCTTGAAGGAAATTAAAAGTGCTACTTCAGTGAACACGCAAATGATCAGAAAGCAATGGAGAAAGTTTTAGGGGTGTGGACAGATCAAATCAGCCACAATATTCCCCTCACCAAAGCCTAATCCAGAGCAAGGACCTAACTCCCCTGGATTCTATAAAGCAGTGGTTCTCGACCTTCCTAATGCTGCAATGTATTTTCATTGTTAAAAAGGGGTTGCAACCCACAGGTTAAGAACCGCTACTATAAAGGCTGAGAGGTGAGAAAGCTGCAGAGGAATAGCTGGAAGCTAGCAGAGGTTGGAACAGGAGGTTTAAAGGAGAACTCAACCCCATAACATAAAAGGGTAAGGTAAAGCAGCAAGGACGGATGGAGAAACTGCAGCAAGTTATCCAGAAGATCCAGCTAGGATCACTGCTGAAGGTGGCTACAATAAACAACAGCCTTCTACTGGAAAAAGATACTGCCTAGGAGTTCATAGCTAGAGAAGGTAATGCCTGGCTTCCAAGGGCAGACTAACTTTCTTCTAAGTGGGAAACACAGCTGGTGACTTTAAGTTCAAGCCAGTTTTCACTTACCATTCTCAAAATTCTAAGACTCTTAAAAATTATGCTAAATCTACTCTGCCCGTGCTCTATAAATGAACAACAAAGCCTAGATGACACACATCTGTCACAGCATGGCTAACTGAATATTTTAGGCCCAGTATTAAAACCTACTGTGCAGAAAAAAAGATTCCTTTGAACATCTATTCATTGATCATGTACAAGGATTTGAATAATATTTCCATGCCCGCTAACACAACATCCACTCTGCAGGCCATGCATCAGGAGTAATTTCAGCTTTCAAGTCCTGTTATTTAAGAAATACATGTATTTCATAAGGCTACAGCTGCCAAAAACTGTGATTCCTCTGACGGATCTGGGCAAAGTAACTTGAAAACCTTTTGGACAAGATTCACCATTCTAGACATTAAGAACATTCCTGATTCACGGGAGGTGGTCAAAATATCAACATTAACAAGAGTTTGGAAGACTCTGTTTCTAAGCCTCATGGATGTCTTTGAGGGGTTCAAGATGTCAGAGGGGGAAGTCACTGCCCACATGGTGGAAAATGCAAGAGAACCAGAATTAGAAGATCAATGATATAATTAAATTGAAGCAGTATCATGATAAAATGTGAATGGTTGAGAAGTTGCTTCTTATGGATGAGCAAAGAGTAGTTTCTTGAGACAGAATCTACTTCTGGTGAAAATTCTGTGGGCACTGCTGACATGACCACTAGCCACGTATAGAAACTTAGTTGATAAAGCAGAGGGAGGGTTGGAGAGAATTGAGTCCAATTTTGAAATAAGTTTTCCTGTGGGTAAAATGCTATCAAATATTATCACATGCTACAAAGAAACCTTTCATGGAAGGAAGAGCCAATTCATACAGTAAACTTCGTTGTTGTCTTACTTTAAGAAATTGCCACAGCTACTTCAACTTTCAGCAACTACCACCTGGTCAGTCAGCAACCATCCCCATCGAGTCAAAAATCCTCCACCAGCCAAAACATTACTGAAGACTTACTGAAGATGATCATTACCAATTGTTAGCAATAAAGCCTTTTTGGGGGGAGGGTGGACAGGGTCTCAGTCCGTCACCCAGGCTACAGTACAGTGGCATCATCACAGCTTACTACAACCTCCAACTTGTGGGCTCAAGAGATCCCCCTACTTCAGTCTCCCGAAGTGCTAGGATTATAAGCGTGAGCGACCATACCAGGACCAACGAAGCACTTCTTAATTAATGTCTATACATTTTTTTTAGACATAATTATAGTTAACAGCCTACAGTATAGGGTAGACAAAACTTTTACATGTACTGGAGAAGAAAATAATGTGTACGGCTCACTTTATTACAGGATTCACTTCAATGCAATGGTGTGCAATGGAACCCGCAATACCTCCAAGACTCATCTATCTGCTGAGATTCAAACTGTTCCTCCACTACATGAGGATGAGACTTTGGCAAGAAGAAAAGCTCAGCGTGCCTTGTGGTATTTGGTATTATGAGCTCAAGAAATCATTACTAGAAGAGAGCTGTCAAGCCAGGAGCTTACGGCAGCAAGAAAATATACACACTAAAAATACACACAGAGGAGAAAGGGGAACACTTGTACACCTTTGGGGGAAAGGTAAAGTAGTACACCCACTGTGCAAAACTGGATGGAGGCTTCTCAGAAAGGTAAAAGTAGAACTTACCGTATGATCCAGCAATCTCATATATCCAAAGGAAAGGAAATTGGGGTATTTTAAAGATAGCTGCACTCCCTTATTTATTGCAGCACTATTCTCAATAGCCAAGAAATAGAATCAACAATAAATGTATAAAGAAAATGTGGTACATATGAACAAAGGGATATTACTCAACCATAAGAAGGAATGAAATGCTTTTTGCAGCAACATGGATGAAACTGGAGGTCATCTGAAATCAGCCAGGAAGAGAAAAATAAATGTCACATGCTCTCACTCATATGAGGGGGCTAAAAAAGGGGACCTCGCAGAGGTAGAGAGTTGACTGGTGGTTACTAGGGGCTGGGAAGGGAAGTGTAAGGATGAAGAGAAGTCAGTTAAGGGGCATAAAAACACAGAAGGAATAAATTCTACCATTTGACAGCACAGTAGGAAAATTACACTTAACAACAATTCATTGTATACTTTAAAACAGCTATAAGAGAAGACCTGTAATGTACCCAACACAAGGATACATGTTTGAGGTTAATGGATATCCCAATTACCCTGATTTGATCATTGAACACTGTACGCTTGTATCAAAATATCCCATGTACATCCAAAATATGTACAACTATTGTATATCAATTACAAAAGATAATTATTAAGATAGTATGTCAAAAGATCAGATGACTGAAATTTTAAGCAACAAAATTAGAATACAAGGGAATGTCATCTGTAAAACAAAGCCATGCTATAAAGTGAATTAATAGGGAATATTTTCTTAATTATTTTTAATTAAGTACCAGGAGTAAATTTTCGTATAGGTAGATATACTATATTATCTTGGTCTACAACACATCAATAAGCTGAGTGCAGTGGCTCATGCCTGTAATCCTAGCATTCTGGGAGGCTGAGGCGGATGGACTGCCTGAGCTCAGGAATTTAAGACCAGCCTCCACAAGAGCAAGGCCCCCTTTCCAATAAAAAAAAAAATAGAGAAACTAGCCAAGTGTTATGGTGAGCACCTGTAGTCCCAGCTACTTGGGAGATGGTGGCAAGAGGATCACTTGAACCTAAGAGTTTGAGGTTACTGGGAGCTATGAAGCCACAGCACTCTACCCAGAGTGAAACTGTGTCTCAAAAGACAAAACAAACAGCCCCCTCCCAACATTGATAATTTACTTTTTTAAGCATCATGCCAAGATCAGAAGTACACTTGAAAAATGAAAAATCCCCATGAAGAACAAATATAATTCACAATTTTCCTCCTGTCTCCAGTTTTAAGGATGAAGAAATTGAGCCAGAGGCAGTTCCATGGCAGTTTATACTCTACATCTAAACAGAGCTAACCACTGCCTTTACCGCATGCCCTTCCTCCTCGCTTGATTCCTCTGTTTCTTTCAAAAACTCGCTTCTTCTTCTAGTTCCCTACATACAGTTTCCCTAGTCTGGCTTTAGTTCTCTTCTGTTCCCAGGTTACGGAAGCTTACTAGATAATTCCTACCACATCCCTAACACTCTAGTCACTCTCAAATTTGAATCTCCACCTGGGTACACACTTCTGAGATAGTGAGACAGACATATACATTCCACTGCTTACTAAAGGTTTCAGCATGAACGTTCTGTGGGGATAATATACTCAACTCGCTCAAAAGGAGACTTCACTCCACTTTCCACGTTTCCTATCTTGAGAAATAGTACCATGAACTACTAATTCACTTGAAACTGAAATCTGGGAATGCTTCTACTTCTCAAATCTATCACATTCGGTTGCTAAATTCTATTATTTAACATCTTGTATCTCTCCTGAATCTGTCCTAGGATTTGCTCAGGAAACCTGACTATTTTCTTTTTTACCTTAATCTTCTACTTACTTTCTGAGATCCTCCCACTTTCACCACCTTTTCTGCCCTTGGCTCCCAGCCCTTGCAGCCATCTCATTTCTTGTGCCATCTCAAGCCCCACAGATTCCTTCCCAACCCTGGCCTCACAGTTCTCATCTCTCCACTGCCAAAAGTCTCTTCTCCACTCAGCTACAGGCACACAATCACATGACTGTGGTCTGGACTCTGTCATCATCACAACTGTACCAACTAGATCCTCAATACTGAAACTCCCTTTTGACTGCAAACTTCACTCTAACCAAATTACTTCCAGTCCTCACTGTGCTCTTTAATTCCTGTCTCTATCCAGGCTCAAAATCCAAGGGCCTCCATAATCTTGATCCCACTGGGATTAGAGATTCTTCCACCACCTGTTGACCGACCACCAACTTTGGATAGGGCCCATCACTTCCTTATTTTTTGCTCTAGAACTACTGAGTATAGTACTAAAAATAGCAAGATAAACTAAGAAAGTATATGATTTCCAAATGCTTTGAGTTATCTACTACTTTTATGATTGAAGTCATAATAATAATAACTAACAGAAAAAAGAATTAAAAATAGTGATTAGGGAAATAAAACTTTGGGCACTGAAATTAGGCCACTTGTATCTAAAAAGCTATTACTATCTAAGTTTCTAAACACATGTATAAAATATTATCTGAGTCTTCAGAAATAAATCAAAAAGTTACCCAATATAGCTATCTATTTCCATCCACCTATCTTTCTATCTATCTATCTATCTATCTACACCTCTATCTTAGAGACATGGTCTCACTGTTGCCCAAGGTGGAGTGCAATGGCCGGATCATAGCTCATTGTACCCTCAAATTCCTGTGCTCGATACATCTTAGTCCCTCAGCCTCCTAAGTAGGTAAGATATAGGCACACACCACCACACCCAGCTAAATCTTTTCAAATTCACATGTCTGGGAATGAAAATCCAAAGTCCTATTTCAATAAACAGTTTTAGTAACTTTAAAAGGTTAAATGTGTGTAATTTGTTTTCAAAAGGAATGGATTTACCAGGAGTTTGGACTACAGCTTGTAAATTCTTTTCTTGAAGTTGTTGAATTTTTTCATTCTTAGCTTTGCTCTCTTTCTCCAAAAGTTTGAGTTTATGAACATACTGGGTATTTAGAAATTTGAGATCAGATGTTTCACGTGTATTCTTCTTCAGTGTAGTTTTCAACTCTTAAAATGAAAGAGATTCGAAGGTTATTTTATCTTATTTTATTATTTTTGAGAAGAGTCTCACTCTGTAGCACTGGGTAGAGCGCTATGGCATCAACACAGCTCACAGCACCCTCAAACTCTCGGGCTCGAGAGTCTCTCTTGCCTCAGCCTTCCCAGTAGCTGGGACTACAAATGCTTGGCTAATAGTTTTTCTATTTTTAATAGGGATGGTGCCTCACTCTTGTTCAGGCTGGTCTCAAACTCATGAGCCCAAGCAATCCACCCACCTCGGCCTCCCAGGGTACTAGGTCTGAGCTACCACACCCACCTTCATTTTATCTTTTTAAAGACAAAGTCTTACTCTGTTACCCAGGCTGGAATGCAGTAACATGATCATAGCTCACTGCAACCTTAAACTTCTGGGCCCTAACAATCCTGCCTCAGTCTCCCAAGTAGCTGGGTCTACGGGCATATATCACCATGCCTGGTTAATTTTTCTACTTCTTGTAGAGATGGAGTCTCGCTATGTGCCAGGTTGATTTACTGATCTTTAAAATAGTCTTACAGGCGAGGCACAGTAGCTCATGTCTATAAACTCAGCATTTTAGGAGGCTGAGGTAGGGAAATTGCTGAAAGCTGGGAATTGAAGACTCAACAGAGCAATATAGCCAGACTCTGTGTTTACCAAAAACACTATTCTTAATTTTTTTATTTTAAAATCAGGAAATCCATGTTTTTAAAGTTAAGACAATATAAAAAGTCGTATCAATTTGAAAGCTTCGGGGCAGCACCTGTGGCTCAAAGGAGTAGGGCACCGGCCCCATATGCCAGAGGTGGCGGGTTCAAACCTAGCCCTGGCCCAAAACTGCAAAAATAAATAAATGAATAAAATGCTTTAAAAAAAACAATTTGAAAGTTTCCACCTAGGCTCAGCGCCAGTAGCACAGTGGTTACAGTGCCAGCCACATACACCAAGGCTAGCGGGTCTGAACCTGACCCAGGCAAGTTAAACAATGACAAGTACAACAAAAAACACCCTAACACCCAGGTGTTGTGGCAGGCGCCTGTAGTTCCAGCTACTTGGGAGGCTGAGGCAAGAGAATTGCTTAAGCCCAAGAGTTTGAGGTTGCTGTGAGCTATAATGCCACAGCACTCTGCCAAGGGCAACACAGGGAGACTTTGTCTAAAACAAAAAAACAAAACAAAAAAAAAAGATCCCATTCTACCTCCCTGCTCAAACATCAACTATTAAACAATCAGAGTGATATATAGCTTTCACCTTACTTTATACTTTTCAGTAAGAGAAAAAACAAAAGTTGTTTTAAGAACATTTCTTCAGTTATAGTATTTCATACTCTCTGTAGCAACTTTAATTCTGAAAATCTCTTCCACATATTTATTTTCCTCCCCAGGAACTCTTTAACACACTCTACACTCACAGTATTTCAGGAGCTATTAGGAGAAGAACTACTGTATTTTCTAGTCCACGGTTTTAAAATTAGACCTTAGCCTTTCCTACATACAAAACAAAAATGGTAAAAGATCTTACATGCTAAAAATTATCAAATTTTCATTTACCTTTAATGTGTTGGTCGGAGTGTTCTCTCAGTTTCATTAACTCCAGGTATAATTCATTATTTTCCTTACTCAACCTTGTATTTTCAAGTTTATAGGGTTCCAAAACAAAATCAAAATTGGCACTGTCTTTTTCAGCTTTCACAGTAGATAATTTTGACTGCCGAAGGCTTTCTGTTGTATGAACTAGGTCACTAAAATTAAAGGACAGAAAATGTAAATACAAGGAAACATTACATTAACTTTCTAGTAACTAAAAACATATTCCTAAAATACAGACATGAGGTGCAGAATGACGTTTCAGTCAAGGACAAATCACACAGAAGATGGTGGTGGCATCAGATTGCAATGAAGCTAAAAATTCCTATTCATTAGTCATAGCTGATAGAAGGTTGTAGCACGACACTGTTACCTTTCCTGTGTTTACATATATTTAAGTACAAAAACACTTACCAGTGTGTTACAACAGCCTACAGTATTCCATATAGTAACAGGCTATAAAGGTTTATAGTCTATAAGCAATAAGCTATACCATGCTGTCTAGGTGTCTAGAAGGCGATGCCATCTAGGTTATAGAAGTACATTCTAGATGCTTGCACAAAGATGAAATTGCCTTCAGACACATTTTCAGAATGCATACTCATCGTTAAGTGACACATGACTATGTTAATGTGAAATGAGATCAAAATTTATAAAGAAAGGAACACTAGAATTGTTCCAAGGTATTAGGACGTCCTAAAAAACTTCTCAAAACAAGATTATGAAATATATACATGTTAGAATCATCTTTGGATCTCCCCTCTTGTTCATGTCCCATGTCCAATTAATCCTACAGAATCTGTGAGATTTGATCATTAAGCAAATATCTGAGTATCTGCTACATGCTAAGCCTTAGAAGCACAATCAATAAGATCTAGTCCCTCACCTCTGAGACCACAGACCTGTTTACTCAGTAAATATTATTGAACAGGGAACACAAAAAAGTCCTCACCATCACGGAGCTTTTTGACAGTTTGTCATAAAATTATGATAACATGTGATAAAGTCAACAAATACTTTAGTGCCCACTATATGTTCAACCTGTCCGTACAGCAGGGATAAAGTCAGAGTTTCTGGTCTCATGGAGTTTGCATTCTAAAAGAATCATAAACAAGTTTCAACAATGACATGTAGTTAAGGTAACTAGTAACAAACGTAAAAGAGTCCTGGAGGACATGTAAACTGAGAAGTTAACCAGGCCCAACGGTAAGGGAAGAGGGAGAAAAGAAAGGAACCCTACAGGCAGATGGAACAGCACACAGGGACCAAAGATGAGGATGCACACATGTGTATTTCAGACACTTCAAGTGGTTTAACACGTGGGAGATGAAGCTGCAGGAGAAGCAGGAACTAGATCACGAGGGGCTCAGCTGGCCATCTTTATCCATTCTTTCCATCATCGTCGCTTGTATCTCTGCTACAAGTAATTCCTAAACAACCTCCCTGATCCAGTCTCAAAGCGCTCCAAAGTAGCTCTTGTGAAAAAAAGTCACCAAGAACTTTTCAGTCAAGGTAACAGATAGCTGCTAAAGTAATGATCAACAACATATTAGAGAACCATTATTAACATAAAATGATGTCTTCAGTTGATGATGGACAGCAGACACAACGAGGGCTTGGTAAGACTATGTGTATAAAGGAGCTGAAAAATTCTCATTGCATAGGGCAGTGCCTATGGCTCAAGGAGTAGGGCACTGGCCCCATAGTAGGGCAGGTTCAAACCCAGCCCCAGCCAAAAACTGCAAAAAAAAAAAAAAAAAATTCTAATTGCATAATGATGTCTTGATGATCCCGACCCTGTGTAAGCCTCGACTTATGTGTGTGTTTGTATCTTAGATTTCACAGAAAAGATTAAAAAGTAAAAAATTTTAAAAATAGAAAAAAGCTTGTAGAATAAGGATATAAAGAAAAAATAGAAAATAGCTTATAGAATGATATAGAGAAAAAACGTGCAGCCATGTTTATGCTATTATACAACAGTCAAACTGTTAAAATTAAAAAGTTTATAAAGTAAAAAGTTACAATAAACTAAAAGTTACAGTAAACCTTGATTGAGGACAAGGGAGTGGGATCTAAGGAAGATTAGGTGAGATGCAGATGATTTTAAGGACTTTTCAAAAATATACTGTTTTCTCTACTGAAGTGCAATCAGAAACCATGTAAGCGGATTGAGGATTATATAGGTTGACAATTGTATTTTTGTCTTTACCTGAAAAGTTTTTCTACTAACGGTAAACTCTCCACTGTCAGAGTGTGGCGGTAACCCAGCTGATCCAATCTTTTTCTAATATGAGCATACTTTCTTTCTATAGCTGTAGTCATCCTGTCTTCCAAAATCAGTTTTATTCACTTCTAGAAATTAAAGTCCTAAAAGAAAAGAATGAAATACAATTATATTATTGTTGTTTCACAGTAAGAAAAAAAGTTTTTTCATATGAAAAAAATTAGCTTTTGTTTCTCTTTAGGTGGGCAGTCTTCTGGAAGATTCAGATTTAAATCCAATCCTTGTAATATTCCTGTTCCTACATTAAAATAAGTATCTCTTCATAAAACTAAATGTAAAAGTTAAAAAAATAAAGCTTCTAGAAGAAAACAGAAGATTCTCCCAAGCCTGAGGAAGGCAGAGAATTCATTGGGAGCCTTCTCTTAAAAGTCCTAAACATAGCTCTCTCCCGCCTCCTTCTGCCTGCCTTCTCCCTCTCTCCCGTCTTCCCCCTCACTCTATTCTCTCTCTCTTCCCTCCCCTCTCTCTCCTTATCTCTCTCCTCCTCGCTGCTGCTCTGCAGCCTCCCTCCCCCCACCAATAAAGACCTTTCGTACAAGCAAAAAAAAGAAAAAAAGTACTAAACATAAAAGAAATATTTGGTAAATTAGACTTCTTCAAAATGTAAAATGTCTATTTATCGAAATACATATTCCATTAAGAATAGGAAAAGAGGCTCGGCGCCTATAGCTCA